GAGAAACCTCAGTTCACTGAGCCAAACGTATTTAAGTTTATGGCATGGAACTTGCAGGAACGGGAACTGAATGGCACAGAACGGCACGGGTCGAGAACATATGTTACTGCAGAGGAGAATGCCGCTGATGCCGCCGGGAATCCCCAAGCCATTCCTCACTGTTCCTGGCAGCCGATTTTGAAGAATGGTTCAAATTGTTCTTCAAAATTGGCTTCCATAGCAGGGATGGGGAATGGCTCGGGGACTCCCGGCGGCATTGGCGGCGTTCTCCTGTGCGGTAACATGCGTTCTCGCCCCATTCTGCGCCATTCTGTTCCCATTGCTGCAAGTGCCATGTGATAAATTTAATTGTCTCAGAGAATGTGGTTTCCCTTCAACCACCTCTAAAATTTGAGACTTTGAGCAAGAGCTGAGACGATTCTAGGAATCTTGATCACATCTTGCATCTTGATCACAAATGCCTCCCTCTCCGTTGCCTCTGTCCTTAAGAACAGTTCTTGCATTTTTTGCCCTTGGTTGCGCTGGTTTGGCAGCTCTTTGCTGTTGCTCTTGTTGCATTCTGGCACCATTCCTCCCATTTGAGGGGCTCGGAGAAACCTCCGATTATTATTGCTTCTCGTTGTTTTTCTTTGCCTTGGGCCTTGTGGGGAGAACCGGAGGGGGCTGGGAATTGCTGGGAACTGAAACCTCAGCCTCTCGGGATGGATGCAGCTCTTGCGGCCAAATATCCGTGAAGAATTCCCAGTGACTGTGGTGGTGGAAGGGCATGTTGGGGTTGGGGAGAGAAGGGGAACAGGGCCAGAGGTTGAAAGGGGATCCGATTTCCTTCCTTGGGAATTTTGGGATTGTGCTGGGAACAAGACGGTACCAACCGGGCTGGTTGCCAAAAGTGAAGCGGAGGCCAATGTTGTGTCAGGACTGCGGTGGGGAGAGCAACTCCATCCATGGCTGGAAGTGTCAGTTTCTGGGAAGGCTTTCTTGAGCACATCTGGTTTCCATGAGCCTTCCCATATGGCTCAGACTCTCTCTCTCTCTCTCTCTGTGTACAAGAACATCCAACATCCACAAAACAGTCAAACCTTTATTGGGCCAACCAAAATGCACAAAATACATGATGCGGACTTTCGAAGTGCCAATGCACCTTGCACTTCAGGGGACAAGTCTTGCCTGCTACTCGAAGCATGTCACCAGCAAGTCAGTCACTAAAAATATACAAATCTCAAGTCAAGGGTGTCATTTTTGCCAAGTCAAGTCCAAGTCAAGTCACTGAAGCGACTTGAGTCTGACTTAAGTCTGGGTCAGTTGACATGAGTCTACATAAGTGATAAGTAATTACATTAGCAGATACACAGTCATTTGGAAAAAACAAATTAGCAGAAGGGTGGAGTTGCACAACCACCACTTCACTTTGTGCATGATCTTCCCATTCCCTTTCATTCATTTCTGCATCTATTTCTCTGATTTTGCATTTGAGGAGAACCCCTCTCCACTTTTTTTGGCAGATTTAGCTCCCATTCTGCAATGCTCACAGGTCTTCCTGGTAGAAACTGCTACACCGTCTCCAAAACCACAGCAAGAGCTTGCCAGACTCATATGTGCCTTGGAGGCTAAGGCGGTGGTTTCTTCTTCCTTTATGGTTTTACAGTTATTATTATTTTTTCTCTTGAATCTGAGCACCTGTTTGTCATCTGGTGCCTGGGAGCTGCTGTGCCTCTTTTTTAGTCTCTGACCGGATGATGCATGTTGCAGGGTGCATCTACAATTAGAAATAATGCAGTTTGACACCACTTTTAAATGCTTTAGCTCCATCCTGTAGATTCTTGAAATTTGTAATTTTACAAGGGCTTTAGCCTTCTCTGCCAAAAGGTGCTGGTGCCTCACAAAACTTCAGATCCCAGCATTTCATAGCACTGAGCCATGGCGGTTAAAGTGGTATCAAACTGCATTATTTCTACAGTGTAGACCCACCCACAGTCACCCAGGTTCCATCTGTAATGCAGAATTAATGCAGCTTGACATTGTTTTAACTGACGTGGCTCAGTGCTATGGAATCCCAGGATTTATAGTTTGGGGAGGTATTTAGCCTTCTTTCTCAGAGAGCTCTGGTGCCACCCCAAACTAGAAATCCCAGGATGCAGTAGGATGGAGCCATGACAGTAAAAGCAGTGTCAAACTGCATTAATTCTGCAGTGTGGCAGCATCCCCAGAGACAAAGGGAAGCTGATGAGAGACCAAATCCTCTCTCTTTTTGGTGGGTGCCTTGGATTGCTTGTTTGTTTCTTCCCAACCACTGGCCTTGTTTCATCTTGGATGGGATGACATCTGGACTTGCATAACTTCTCTTTCTGCAAAACCTCCTTGAAGCATGCAAAGTGTGTTTATTGTGGCTGGAATTTTGAAATGGTTCTTTTCTGAATAACAACTCCCAGAATAGTTGCTGTGGTCACTGGGTGCCTTCAAGTTGTTTCCAACTTATGGTGACCCTAAAGCAAACCTATCGTGGAGTTTTCTAGGCAGGATTTGTACAGAAGAGGTTTGCCATTGCCATCCTCTGAGGCTGAGAGCATGTGACTTGCAAAGCAAAAGCAAAGCAGCTTATTTATATACCGCTTCATATCACGCTATGGGATGTCTAAGCGGTTTACAACTGTGAGCTGATTGCCCCCCAACAATCTGGGTACTCATTTTAGCGACCTCGGAAGGATGCAGGCCTGAGTCGAGCCTCAGCCCTGGCTGGTATTGAACTCACAACCTTGTGGTCTATGAGTGAGTGGCTGCAGTACAGGCATTTAACGACTGCGCCACCAGGGCTGATCACCAAGGTCACCCAGCAGATTTCATGGTTAAATGGGGATTTGAACCCTGATCTCCCCGAGTCCTAGTCTAACACTCAAACCACTATATCATGCTGGCTGCCTCCCAGGATCATATCCTCTAATATTTTATGGGTGAAAACCAGGACATGCGTAGCCAAGCAACATCAGAGTGTAGTCAAGATGGCAAAAAACATTAATGAAGAAAAACACACAAATGAGGAGACGTTGCAGATGTTTGCTTTTGCCTAAGCCAACAGAGAAAGGCTTCTGTCCATTCCTCTCCTCTCTCTCCCTGTTGAGTTAATGGAATGCAAACTACTTTTTGAAATCAGTTTGCAGCAATGGAACTAAGCTGGGAACAAAGAGGAAAAGTGGGAGGAGGAGAAAGAAACTGGGACATTTTAAAAGCAGCTGAGAAAGTGTGATGGCAGAACATTAATTGGGAAAGCTGGAGGATATGCAGATGCCAGGAAGATTCTGGGATTTGTTGTCCAATTTTTTTAAAAAAAAGCGCTTTGTAGTCTTCCACCTCTTCCAAAACAGCAGAATTATAAAGCAGTGTACCATCAATGGCTAAGAGCCAAATGTTGTAAGGATTTGGATTAAACCAGGGCTGGTCAGTTGTGTGGCGTTGTGGTTTGAGCACTGGACTATGATTCTGGAGACCAGGGTTTGATTCCCGGCTCAGCCATGAAACCCACTTGGGCAGATCACATGCTCTCAGCCTCAGAGGAAGGCAATGGCAAACCTCCTCTGAACAAATCTTGCCAAGAAAACCCTGTGATTGGGTTGCCATAAGTTTGAAACGACTTGACAGCAATAACAATGGCCAACTGCACAGAAAGTGGGGGTCTGTGCCATTTTATCCCCTGGGTGCCCGTCTGGCAGGCTGCATCAACACGTTTCACCATGTCCAAAGTGACGTGATGCCACTTTGAGCCACCATTTGGGCTGATTTCCCCCCTTCTTTTTTTGGTTTTGGGGAGGCGCTGGGGTCTTTGCAAGGCTAGGAATAATAATAATATTAGTAAAAAACCAAACCCTACATTCCTAGGCAGTTTTATCCTATTTGGAGACAAAGAAATTACCACCACCACCCCTCCCCACTCCTCAAATAATTTTTTTTTGGTGAGGTTGGAGGCAGGAGATGTCTTCTGGGAATCAGGGATGCATATAAGCAGGGGTAGGCAACCTAAGGCCTGGGGGCCGGATGTGGCCCGCTGAGGCCTTTGGACCGGCCACCGCCCCCCCCTGCCATGATGATATTGATTATTGTTGTTATTACTTGTTTTTGGGGTTTTCTTGGCAAAATTTCCACAGGGGTTTTGCCATCATGGCTTTTCTGGGGCTGAGAGAGTGTGCATGCATTTTAAATTTTTTTAAAAAAATTATTAAATTTATTTTTATTTATTTTGGTGCTTCGGCCCCCCAGTTGTCTGAGAGACAGCAACCCGGCCCCCGGCTCAAAAAGGTTGCCTACCCCTGCATATAAGGGTCCCAGTTGTCACACTTTGCCCAACCCTGGACTAAACATATGCTGCAAATCTCTCTCTGTTGTCTTCTGGTAGAGGAGGTTTCCAAGAAAAAGCCGCTGTGGCCCACATTTGGGGGAGAGGGAATGTGCCACTCGACCCATCTTCTGAGCACCTCGGTTTCTCTGAGCCTGGAACGCACACGGAACAGGGAAGGTCCTCTCCGACCCACTCCTTCTGGACTCTGCCCCGTAATTGCCGTTTCCTGAATTGTGAAAGAAAACATGTTGTTTTCTGGGCAGGACCGAAATAGACCTCCATCACTTGACAGCTTGTGCTCCTCGGCTGTCGAAACAGAGCTCTCCGTTTGGTGCCAGGGTGGGCAAAGTGTGATCCTGGGTTTGCATTCTTCTTTTGTGGTCCTCATCCTCTCTAACGTGTCCTTTTTTCTGGCCCCAAAATTGAGGTGAATAGCCTCGTGACACTAAAGTGATAAAGTTGTACCTATCTTACCAGGTCCTCTGGGGGACATTTACTCCCGTCAGCCAGGACTAGGTTGCCAGAGGACTTTTTCTTCAGTCGTCCTGTTCTCTGGAGCAATAATAATAATAATAATAATAATAATAATAATAATAATAATAATAATAATAAATTATTTATATCCCGCCCCTTTGCGAACAATCGGGGCGGCTAACAACAATAAAATACATAACAAACAATAAAATCAAATTCCCATACCCCCCCTTAAGAAATTATTAAATTAGACATGATTAAAACCTACATTAAAACACAATAATTAATTAAAACTAATCCTAATATAGGAACGGATTAATACGTATCAGAACTGGGGAACCTGAAGAACCTGAAGAAGGCATTCCTAGAAAGATTCCTAGAAAACAGAAGGGCTAGCGCCCTTCTCAATATGACATCCCTTCAAATATTTAGAGGGCTATCATATCCCCTCTTAACCGTCTCTTCTCCAGGCTAAACATACTCGGTTCACTAAGTCGTTCCTCATAGGGCTTCATGGTTTCCAGACCCTTCACCATT